CGTGTAGTTACTGTTAATACTGAATTGAGTAAACTCTTCGCAATAAAAATAAATATTAAAGCACATTAATTTGCACAATCAATCTCACGCTCATACTACCGCAATTCATGCATATATACATACGCCGGCAAACTTTGATAAACATTATTATACATAACCTGAATCTGGTCATTGAATTGTTGTCGTCTTCATCGACCTCATCGTCATCATTAACGTTGATAATATTAATACAATATCGATATAATGCCGGCGACTCGGTTATTGACATTTTTTTATAAATTTAATTATATCGATATTTATTTCAATCAAAAATAAACAACAAAGCTTTAGCTAATGCGATCAAATGTAACCGTTTAAATAGATAATGATATATGCTATTTACGCGGGCCGTATTTGTGTTTATTTTTCAATGTCTACCCATCTTGCTCATCTTGCATTCACTTCGTATGAAAATTTAGGAAAATAAAACCAAGGGAAAATGATGGAGTGAAATGCGTAGCAAACGGCGAAAAAACACAAAAAAAAAAAAAAAAAAACAATAATAATCAAATTTATGTTACAAAGAAGTACCAGGATGTGAAATGAAGGAAACAGGTCAAGTAAAAGAGATAGAAAATGGAACAGCTAGCGTAAAGGACTGGAAAAAAAGTGTATTCGCTTTGACTGCCGCAAACCTTAAATCAATGATTCGAAAAAAAAAAAAACAGCTAAGAACATTACAGTCGGGCAAAGCGAATCATTAAATACTGTATCCCGCATTGTCTAACACAATTCCTTTTTTTTTTTTATAGAATACAACAATTATATCTTGTTTTAATATGAGGGCAAATTTTTCAAGGGCATATTTATGGGAAAGGGAGTCCAAAATGAAACCGAATGTAGTACAACTTTAATCTTTACGTAGGGCAGGATCCAAAAATAGACGTACGTGGTCCAAATTTTGTAGAGTTCGTTTGTGTAAGAAATTCCTATAATATTATGGGTCACTTTTCATCACCGCATATTCAAATTTAGACTTTTCGGCTCTATAAAGAATCAATTTTCGTGAAACTGCTTATTGGGATAGGAGCGAAAAAGTGAGCTGAAATGGGCTTATTTTGGTATAGTGACTTTTTTATGTTAAATTACTATTAGAATATAATTTTTATCGTGAAGTAACAAAAACTCACTTCAGTTTTCGTTACAAGAGGGGGGTTCAAAAATTTCTCTAGCCGGCCTTCAAAGTTTTCATACCAATTTAGAACGCCCAAAATCCTACAGCTTAGTCAATTTCGGTGAGGAATTTTCAAATTGCAATTTTTTTTGCCTATAATGACTTTTCAGAATAGGGGACTTTCTTATAGGGTATGGTCGACAATACGAATCATTTTCAACAGCGTTCGTCGTTGGGTCAAAACATGTAAATGTACCAAATTTGAATTCTTCTTTGAAATATCTTAAAAATCGTTTGAACATGAATTTATATGGATAGAGATCAAATGGACAAACGGATCCATAGGCATCAATTCCATCAATTCAGATTATGACTCTGAGTCGATCGGTATAACAAAACGCGGTTTTATTTGAAGCCCTTCTGCGTGTTACACACGACCGCACTAACTTAATATACCCCGTATCACAAGTGATGTTAGGGTATAAAAAACACCATTAAAATGGTGTTTATCTCGTTACAACGAATTTTTGAATACTCACAAATGCCTGATTTTTCTCTTCCTTTCTTCCTTTTTTTTTCACATACACATATTTCGCATGTATGATATATTTCAAATGATATATTAAAGTTCTGGCTACAGTTAAAAATGAAATAGAAATGAGTAATACTAAGGTCCATAACGGATGAATTTGAAGATTTCGACCTCCCTCTACATAAAACAACCGTTTTCTATTTAGTGTTATTGATTTAGTCAGCGTACGCCGATGCTAATCATGGAGCGCTCAAAATTGCGTTTTCGACGTTCATTTTTGTTTGTTGTTCGGTTTGAAGATATCTGCTGCCGAAGCACACTAAACACGTTCAAAAGCTGCTGCATCATATCCGAATTGTCGGTCTTGCTTTCAACAGTATAAAACAAGTGATTTTGATGTCAATGCCAGCAAAACGACTTGGTGGACCAAAAAAAGGTCAAGAACAACGAGTTGCATAATGTATTAGCCGAAAAGTCAGCTCCAACTCTCGAAGAATTTTCGAAGAGCTTACCAGTTGACGAATCAACTGTTTCTAGACCTTTACATGCAATGGGAGAGGTCCACAAGAAGGGAAAACGGCTATCTCGCAAAATTGACTGAAAATGCCACTCTGAACCGTTCCGATATGGCGGCCTCAGTGCTCACCAGGCAAAAAAAAAAAGAGTTCTTGTGGGCGTGTTGTGACTGGCGATGAAAAGTGGACCCACTACGACAATCTCAAGTACAAAAAGGCATGTATTAAACAAGGAAAATCGCTGAAACGGAATATTCATGGCCTTGACGTTCCTCTGTGCATATGGTGGAATTACAAGAGCGTACTGTATTAGTTGTAGAGCTGCTAAAATCGAATGAAACTGTTACTGCAAAAAAGGCAAAAATAGCGGCTAAAATTTGACGGAAAATGCCATTTTGACCACTCGCTTTAATTGTTATCGACGATACAGTGTTGCAGCTCGAATGGGAAATTCTGCCACATCCGGTCACCAGACATAGTACTTCTTGATTACCGCTTGCTCAGATAGATGCAGCACAGCTTGGGTGGCATTGAGATCCGCAAAGTTAATAAGTTGCGAAAATAGATCAATGAGTGGATCGCTGTCAAACCAATATAAGTTCGCTCGATAAGATATCGCCATGTTGCCAGAAATATGGTAAAAAGTTGTAGAAAATGATGGAAAAATTTTCGTTAATCTATGCTGCACCGATTTTTCTCAACAAATGTCTTTTCCAAGTGAAAAAATGGCAACAACATTTTTGCAAGCACCTAATATTTACGCACCATTGCAACTTTTGTAATCACATTTTTAACATTCTCAAGAAAAAGGGCAACGTATCCCTAGACCAGCTTAAGCAGAATATTAAGGGAGTCAAAGCCATTTTTTTTTGGATACCTTTATAATCGTTCTCTTTTTTTTTTTTTTTTAAAGAACGTTCTTTGAGGCAAGCATATGATGCTATGTGCGGAACTGTTGAAGGAATCTAAATACGAAATCTAAAGTAGAGTGTCATTAAGAGATTTCACAGAACAATTTTCGATAAGTACTAGTGAAAGTTTTAACCAGTTTTCACCAACCCCCAGGCCAATATATATCACGAGATTGATCGCGGATAACTTCAATTTTCCAGAAAAATGCCCGCAATCTCCTAGGAAACGTATCATCTAACCTTTATAAATTTTTCAAAAAATATATATCGCGGCCGGAATGACTTGTTCTTCTTACAAAAACAGAATGAGAATGATTCCAAGCCTCTTTCCCGGAGAAACGATGCAGTAATTAGCTCCGTACCCTTCAAATATTGTGTAAACAAAAAAACTAGTTCTGTAAATTAAATTCATTGAGAAGCCGCTTAAAGACTGCAATGTATTTGCGAGCAAATCTGCGCTTATACGACTGATTGACAGACTTCGAGTGAGGAGAAAAAACGACATCCGTTAAAAGCGTGTAATCTTAACTTCTACTTAATATTTTTCGTTATGAAATGACGAAACGAACAGACGGACAATCCAAATTTGAAACTGTGCATGAATTTATTTACTTTAAGCGGTTTTTGGAAGCTTGCTTCTGCGCGTTTTGATAGTGTTGAACAAAAAATCACATTTTAATGCATTTTAATATTGGATAAGCGAGGGCAATTTTTCCCAATTTTGTGCAAGTACTGAAGCATCATCCATAGAACTTATGTCAAGTTTTTGTAGATTTATTTGCTTGTAGTTTATGAGTAATGAAGAAAAAACTAGTTTTTCATTCTTTGTGAAAAACAGAAATGTTCTCACTTTTCACAGTAATGTAGGCGTGCCCTTCGAGCGATTTGGCTATGGTAACACCTTTAAAAACACAGGATTTTAGAGGTTCTCTTGGTTAAGTTAAACCTTGTGCACGTACTGACAGGACGTTTTTGAGTTTGTTCTTTGTTCTGTGTATTCACCAGACGCATGCATTATAAAGTTAGGCATCTCCCCTTATAATTCTTAGCACAAGGCGGTACGTACGCGTTCCATTTGCCATTATATCGTCCGCATTATACGCGGGCCGGCAAAGGACGCAGCGAAGTGCCGGCCATAAACTTGGGGGCAGTTAGTTGATCAAAGTTTATATACCCCTCATGGTCGCCACCACTCCATGACCCGCGAACAAAGAGAGCCGGGTATGTCGTAAAGTAACAGTTCTTTCATTCTTCATTTACATGCATCAGCCATTACTCTGTTCTTCTGTTTACTTGTAGAAAAATCAAGCTAAACATTTGTTCACTGTGTTGTGTTCTTATCCCTTCCTTCCCATTTCCTTTAAACAATTTCTTTGATATATAACCGAAACGGTACTTAACGTCATTTAAATGCAAAAAAAAAATTAGTTAAATATTCTTTCCCTTTCGAAATAAATGTATAAAAACCTTCGCTCATAAATGTTTACACATAAAAAACTTATGAATATTGATAAGGTAGATAGAGTATATAATTATTAATTCATATATATGAAATTCAATTAGAAAACAATTTAAAAACTGCTATACGAAATTTGCTGCCTATGTATATACGTTTACGATATTCAAGAAAAGTTTTAAGGCATCAACATTTAGTGAATGAATAAAAAGCAATGGTTTCATTTTTACAACAAATAGTTATTTAAGATGAGAGAATAAAATTATCTTCTTCTTTATTACAAATCTTTTTCGATAATTCGCTATAAATGTAAAAATATTTATTTCATATATAGCATATTCGTGATGTTATACATTTTTCTAACATGCATAAATACTAGTTAACGTATAGAAATATTGCGAGTGGGTAACACTGTCCACTGTTTAAGGAACACGTCAGTTGAATTGCTGGCAAGATTTTTTTCTCTTTTCACAGCATTTCTTTATTCTAGAAACATTAATTGATGCTGGAATTACAGAAAAATTATTAAATAAAGAAAACGTATTTAAAAAAATATAAAAAACTTATTTAAAAACAAGGTAAGTTTCAGTTAAGTGATAAAATAAAACTTAGGTATATTTTATGAATTTTATGAAAATAATACCGTGGTCGTCAACGATAAAATTGAAATATTGAAGCAAAATTTCCGGCAAACGACAAACTACGTTTTCTTTCATCTTTCAAAATTTATAATAAAATCAAAAATGCGGACATTTTTCAATTAATCTAAAATGTAATTTCAGAAGGCATTTATTAGTTACTACAAAAATGATGATAAATAAAAAACATCGAGCTTCAAGTTGGTGGTCTTTATTAGTGGTAGTAAGTTTGTGTATCGTGCTATCTACATATATTTGCGAAGTTCAAGCAGCTGCTGTGATGTCCGTTGATCTGGGCTCTGAATGGATGAAGGTTGGCGTTGTCTCGCCTGGAGTGCCCATGGAGATCGCCTTAAATCGTGAATCGAAACGTAAAACGCCAGCTACTCTAGCGTTTCGTGACGAAGTCCGTACATTCGGTGAGGATGCTCTTAGCGTCGGTATACGAGATCCATCATCAGCTTATGGTTATCTAATAGATTTACTTGGCAAAACTATTGATAATCCTATAGTTGATTTGTATAGGTATGTATAAATAAGTCAGTAGATGAAAAGGCCCTTTGGAATTTACAAATTTTATGGCTATATATCCTCATTTTTAATACAAATACTTTCAAATTTTTCTTTCTAAAAAAGAGAGTGTATTTCAATTAAATTTGTAATATCATCATTGTGTTGTTTTCTCGAAAACCACCAATTGAAACTTTCAAAACTGTTTCAAAGAAAGAAATATTTTATATTATTTACATTTTTCATTTTTTCCGACAGAAAACGCTTTCCTTATTATGAAATTATTGGTGATCCCGAACGTAATACGGTTATCTTCAAGAAAAACGATAAAGAACAATTTCTAGTAGAGGAGCTGGTGGCACAAATTTTAATGAAAGCTAAAGAATTCGCCCAAGAGTCTACTCATCAACCTGTAACTGAGGCGGTGCTTACAGTACCAGGATATTTCGGTCAGGCCGAACGTGAAGCGTTACTTGCAGCCGCCCAATTAGCAAATATTAAGGTATTGCAATTAATTAACGACTATACGGCAGTCGCCTTAAATTATGGTGTATTCCATCCATCTGGCATCAATGAGACAGCGCAGTATTATATATTCTACAATATGGGTGCCAGTTCCACTTCGGCTGCTGTGATCAGTTATCAATTAGTAAAAGATAAACATACTAAAGAGAGCCATCCGGTTGTGGAAGTATTAGGTGTGGGGTATGATCGCACTTTGGGCGGCCTGGAGATTCAATTGCGGTTACGAGATTATCTAGCTGACGAATTTAATGCTATGCGTAAAACTAGCACGGATGTAAAAACTTCTCCCAGAGCTTTAGCTAAACTCTTCAAAGAGGCTGGACGCGTCAAAAATGTTTTATCTGCCAATATGGATCATTACGCGCAAATTGAGAACGTCTTAGAAGATCAAGATTTCAAACTGCAAATTTCACGCGAAAAATTAGAAGAGCTATGTGCGGACTTGTGGCCACGCATAATTAAACCTTTGGAACAGGCTTTAGCTCATTCCGGCCTTTCGTTAAATATAATTTCTCAAGTCATTATTTTCGGAGGCAGTACTCGGGTACCCAAAGTTCAAGAGACCATTAAACAGTTCATTAAAGAAGACTTAGGCAAAAGCTTAAATGCCGACGAAGCAGCGGCTATAGGTGCTGTGTATAAGGCAGCTGATTTAGCTACTGGCTTTAAAGTGAAAAAATTCATAGTCAAAGATGCTGCCGTCTTACCCATACATGTGGCTTTTGAGCGTGAAACGGGGAATGGGGCGGAAATAAAACATGTGAAGCGAGTTCTTTTCGGCCTTATGAATTCCTATCCGCAGAAAAAGGTTATTACCTTTAACAAACACACATCAGACTTTAAGTTTCACGTATGCTATGGTGATTTAACTCATTTATCATCAGAAGAACGTTTATTCGTAGGAGCTACGAATATCTCTCTGGTGGAATTGGAGAAAATCAAAGACTTACTGGAAAAGATGTCTAATGAGTCCGTAGAAGCGAAAGGCATTAAAGCCTATTTTGCGTTGGATGATTCAGGCATTTTCCGTTGTACTGGGGTAGAATATGTATACGACAAACAGAAAATAGAAGAGGACGAGGGCACTTTGGCAAAATTGGGCAATACCATAAGCAAACTTTTTTCAAAAGATTCGAAAGAAGAAGAGAAAAAAGCCGAAGACTTTAAAGAAGAAGTAGGCGAGGATGAAAAGATTAAAGAAGAGAAGAGTGAAGAAAAAGTCAACATGGAGAATGAAGATAAACAGAATAAAACAACAGCAGAGAAAAATTTAGACGAGAAAGAAAACAACAAAAAGAATGAAACTGTAAAGATTGTCACTATCAAAGAACCTGTGCAGCATAAGGTAACTTTTCAATTTACGCCACCTTTAACAGGAAAGTCTTACGAACTGTCTTTGGAGAAACTGAACGCCATTAACAAAGCGGAAACTATGCGAAGTCGTTTAGAGTCCTCATTCAATGCTCTTGAGTCTCACATTATTGATATTCAACAAAAGTTAGAGGAAAAGGAATACGCCAGCTGCGTAACATCGGAAGAGAAGCAAAAAATTCTATCAGAATGTTCCGCTATCTCTGATTGGCTTTACGACGATTCGGATAAAACTACCCATGACATGTACGAAACGAAATTAAATGATTTGAAAACGTTAACTAATGTATTTATGGCACGTCACTGGGAGCACGAGGAAAGACCTGAAGCCGTAAAAGCTCTTGAAAATATGATTGACGGAGCTCAGCAATTTTTGGAAAATGCAAAAAATCTAACTAAGGACGCAAATCCTGAACGTGATGTATTCACACAAATTGAAATTGATACTCTTTCGCGTATAATAGATGACACTGTGACCTGGAAAAATGCGGAAGTTGAGGCCCAAAACAAACTTCAACGTCACGAGAAGGTACGTTTAACAGTCAAGGACATAACCGATCATATGGGATCTTTAGATCGGGAAGTCAAATACATGGTGAATAAAATCAAAATTTGGAAGCCAAAACCAAAACCTACCACTAAGAGCGATAAGAAAACGAATAAAAGAAATGAAGAAATGGAGACAGACGAGACGGGATCAGGTTTTGGTAATGAAACTCAATCGGATGATGATTTATCCAGTCAACAATCGCCTGACGAGGACATCAAAGTGAATAGCACAGAACAAAGCACCACAACACCACGCACAGAACTCTAAGGGAGCAAAGTAAAAAGATAAAAGACTGCGTTTAATTAATAAATATCCCGAAGTAGAAAATACCATTTAAAAAAGAAAAGAAATTCCTATGATCTGATTATTATGCTTCTAATTAGTTCTTTTTTTTTTTTTTTTTTTTTCTTTGGATCTTGACTTAAGATACGGCCGTGATACCTAGAGCCGATATGTTAAATGTATTTGAAGATTGTTGAGTTGTTGAAAGTGATGAAAAAAAAAAAAAAAGTTTTGCAAATTTTGGCTGGAAACAAAAAAGGAATGTTATAGAGATAAAATATGATTGAACGTAAAAAAGAAAGTTTATCATGAATTAAAAAGATAAATTCGCTTTTCTAATAAAGCAAGTTAGTTCCTCGGGCTGACTTACATTTTTTTCCTACAAAGAGTTCGAGGAGACCATCATGTAACTTAAAGAAGCTGTAATGGACACCGGCACTGCAGCATTAAAAAATAAAATAAAAAAATAAAAATAAAAAGTAGTTTTTGTCAGGGGAAAAAACAGAAAATTAAGTTTTCCTGGGTAGAGAAAAGGAAAATTTTTGGGCAATTGACGTTTGAAGAGTGAGTTATATACATATTTCTGTTAAAATATTGAATTCGAAAAATTGTGAATAAATACGAACAAAGGAAACTTCTAAAAGCGTATTATTTGAATTGAATCGTTTGAAAATTTCCAAGGAAAAAATCCTTTACATAAAAGAATTATTGACTGCAGTAGTGTTGAAGTGATGAATTATTATTAACGAACATCGATGTCAAATTTTCACTATGGAAAACTAAATGATTCAAATCGTTCTGCCTATAAAAAACTGAAAAAATAACAAAACGAGATATTATTTATTTAAAAAAAGAAAAAAAAAATAAACAAGAAAAAACAAAAAACCGCACACAATCACGGGTTCTGCTGTTTAAATATCCTTCGCATGGTCATGAATCGGGCTTACAACGTGTCTTAATGGATCAATAAACAACACCTATTTTTTTTTTTTTGTATTTCTTTTTATTATTAATCAAAAATTTAAAATTCATAATTTGTAAAAAACTTACAGCTGCGGTGATGCGCATCAACGTGGGTTTGTTTTGGTAAGTTCCATTTTTGGTTTGTTGAATTAAATTAATCTAAATTTTCCCTTATTTGTGTTTACCCTTTTTTTTTTAAATTTTTAAATTTAGGCATTCTTTTTTTTCAAGTCTTGCTAATTAAAAATAATATTCAAAATCTATAATTTGAAAATGATTTCACTTTTTCTCAAAATAAAAATAAATAATAATAATAAACCTTGAATTGAGATAATTTTGTAAATTAATATAATTATTTTTTTGTTTTTTTTTTTACTTAAGTGGTTCGTTTTGTTATCTTTTTTTTTTTTGGGAAAAAATAAATAAAAATGTATTATTATTAAAATTATTAAATTATTGGTGAGACTTTCTTGACGTGACTGAGGGGCGAGGGATAGACATTTTCGATAGGGCATGATGACGGCATTTTTCCCGGTAAAGAAAAATAAATCAAAATTAAATGTAAGCATGTTATTTCAAAATAATGATTCGTTGGTAGCGTAAAGATGAAATATCATGAACCTATTTTCAATTCCTTATTTTTACCCATCCCATCCGTCGAGCCAGGCCTTGGAAAACATGCGTAGCTTTCATTGTATAAATATAAAAAAATTACAGCTTACAAATACGATACAAAGCTAAAAGAACTCCTTAAACCATTTAGCCTGTGACATCTAAAAATTAATTGCTCACCAGACTTGCTATTATTACAAACTTCACATATATGACATGGTATAGCGCAAATCATTTTTAAATATACTTTATCAGAAGTGCGACTACTCATTAATCTATAAAGAATTTTGATTTCCCAAGAATTAAAGAAAATCTCTGATAAGTGTTTAAACTGAAATGTGAGATTTAGTTTATAAAAAAGACGATTGGATTTGATACGCGCAACCTCTTTAAACTCATCATTTAGTTGTTGAAAGATTTGGTTACGAATTGACCATATTGGGCCATTTTTGCATGAAAGTCAGCTTTTTCATTAAAAAAAATTCGCAGTGACCAGGTATCCAAACAAGGTGACAGTCATCCACTTGAGATTCATATAACATACTGTGCATATCAAACACACATTGATTATCTGCATTTGTTTTTATTTATTAGAAGCAGAGCTGACTTACGATCAAAAAATTTTTCGATACTATCAATAAAAGCATAACTGACGACAAGCAATTCAATGAAAGACGTGGATAATTCGTTCATCATTTTGACTTAATCTACTATTTGTACATAATACATTGTGTATATTGAATACAGTCAAAGCTTTTTTGGGAGGCAAGCCTAACTGATTTTTAGTCATAACTTTGATGATATTGCATCCAGATTGACAGTCTTTGAAGGCTTTCTCATAATGTACACGAACAGTTAGGTTGTCATTTAAACTTCTACCAAGAATTCGAAGATTTTACCTGACTAACTTTAGTACCTTTAATAAAGAGCCTGATTTCGCGTTTAGAACGTTTGATAAAATAAATAGTATTTGCTTTGCTGGGGTTAAGATATAAATTAAGATCGGCGTATGCATCGAGTAAAAATATTAGCTTTTATCGAGAAATTATTTACAGCCACTGAAAGAGATGAATGCGCAGATACAATTAGGAATTCATCTACATATTGAAAAATATGAGTTTCGTCATCTTGAAGATCATACAAAGTAGCTGTATATAGATTGAAGAGTATGGGGCTTAAGCAACTACGTCGTGGAATACCCACCACACACTTCAAATTTTTCTGTACTCAATACCAAAACAAGCTTGAATAAAAAATTTAGTATCGACAGACGTCTTTGAAGAGGAATTGAAAAGTTTAAGAGAATTCTACCAAGCTTAATCAAGTTGACAATCATAGGCTTTGCTGATGACCACGGAAAGCATAACTACCATTTAATCAGCAACGAACTGGATACTACACGTTCCCGAATTTTCAGGAAATCTCTCTCCTTGGCCATGAGAATAAGAATCTTTATGAATGCAGCTTTTAGCGAAATGGTTCTGAAGTTGCTTAAATGATTTAAGTTTTTACCTGCCTTAGGATTGGCAACTATTCTAATGGTATAATTTTCAAGGATTAGCAGTTATTAATTGCATGCAAGAGGATAGTTAAGCTTCCCCCCGGACATTGCAATCGTTTCACGGATTTCACACTTGGAAGACTTCCCGCAGTTCAGACACCTGTCATTTTTGTCTTTCCAGAATTTTGACACATGGCTATAACTACCACACTTAAAGCATTGCTTTAAGGTGGGTACGAATTACTCCGTAAGTAGGTTGCAAAAACTGAATTTGACGCTTTGGGGAAAGCTTTCCGCTTAAAATCAATTTTAATACTCGTTGTGGGAATAAACTCTTCCTAATTGTTAGGATTTCTTCTCTGAAACGTAACAGCAAACTTAGCGGGAATACCCCACACAGCTTTTTCGATTACCTCGTCTACGCCACTCATAATTGGGACGTTGCGAATAACTTCGAATTTGTCCGTGAAAGATCACAGAATATACGCTTTTAAATTTTTTTTTTTTTTTCATAATCATTGTTTTGAACAATGTTCTTAGCATTAACAGCAGATCTGAAAAGCAATTTAGCTCTAACCCTGTTAACCACTTTTAGTTCTTGTAAGCCATTAATATTGGAACTTTTTTTATAATCATAAAAGAAAAGATCCGAGTGAATGTTCATACGTTTGTCCTCAGCGTGTTCGCAAGTTTCAACAAAAACTACGAAATAGAATAACGAAATATATTTGGAGTGGCTTTGGCATCCAAATCAGAAGGCTTATTAACTACCTATTTTCTGAACACTATTAAATCATTTGCTTTAGCTACTTCTTTGGGCGTTAAATCAACCTTATCCCCACCCATCCTCAATCTCTTATTACGCTTAGCGGCATTCATAGAAAAATGTTCACAATCATCTCTATCTGTAGTAATTAAATCAGAGGGAAACGGGCTGATATTGTTTTAGCTGTTATCCCGAGGAACACTTATCAAAAATCACAAATACCGTTTGCTAAATGTCGTGTTGCTTCAAGTGTGAATTGCGGTGGAACGATTAGTTCATTTCAAACCAGCCGAGTGATTAAATAATCATTCGGCTTTTTCGTTAATAACTCGTCACTATTTCATCATAATAACTCTCATGCACTCTACTTTTTTTATAATATATCTGTCTTCTTCTTCTTCTGAATTGTCGCTAACTGGCATTTGGTAAGATTAAGATCCATCACACCATAAAATTGAAATGGCGTGCGATTTCAAGAACTGAAAGCATTGCCGTCGCCTGAAAGTCATATAAAGCAAATTGAATTACATTCGTGCTTTTTTCTAGCAATAAATCATTTTCATTACACACATTACACGCTTGTCGAATATATATATTTTTATAATTTATTTAATAATATCTCTAAGTATTCAATATTTTATTTAATTCAGTACATAAATATAATGTACATCAACTCTTTTTTTTTTTTTCCCACGATCTTCTTTTGCTCCAACACCAATAAAAATATATATAATTTTTTTTTACTCTTATTGTTTTGTTTTAGCATAGATACGAAAATATTTTATTTTTAAATTCTAATATTGGCAGTGCCTTAAAGAAACTTATGTGTACCACAAAATAAAATACAATTGGGGGAATTGCGTCATTCGGTTTATGCCAACACATATGTGTGAATAATTTAGCTTACTATGGGGAATACCCAAGTTTTATGAATACTTTTTTCTTTATCTCGTTATACTTTAACCTGAACACAACATTGCATCATTTGTTATTAGTTCTGACTTAAATTGTGTTCTGTTCGTAGCACGCAATAAATAATTTCAGTCAAATTCTTAAAGTTGATGTTCAAAATAAAGGGTTTATTTAATTCCTTAGCGAAATTTCCATTACAATATATATTGGTGATAATTTTTTGCTACTAAAAGAGGTAATAGTATGTTCAATTTACACTCTACATTAATTATATATATATATATATATTTTTTTTTTTTTTTTCTTTTTAATAAAATAATTTGTCTTTGTTTTAGAAAATATGTGACAGGGATTTCATTCACATTTTTTTTTTTTTTTTTGTAGTGTTTTTTAGTGGGAATATATATAAAATTTTTTAAAGTATATGAAATGTATTTTTTATACGATTTTTTTTGCACGGTTACTTTACAAAAAAAAAAAAAAAAAAATGTTGGATGCATTCATTTCCAATTGTAACGAGTGTAGGCTGCATCGATAACTGCGGCAAAAAAGCCGTCACAAGTATAAATGATATAACAGTAAAAATTCAATTTTTTCATTTCCAAAAATATATGCTCGCAAAGTGATACTAGTGTACGATAATCGACTTTAACACTGTCAATAGACTTAAAAGATGGACAAAGGAATGGAAATTTTATAAAATTTTATTAGTCTCTAACTAATAATGCTATTAATAATAAGTTCAATGACAGATGATAGTTAAATTCAGCCAAGTTCGTTTAAAGGAAGCAATTAGTAAATGCATTTGTATTGCAAAGCTCTTACGATTGAATAAATTAAAATTGCTAACCCTCCCCCCCCCCCCCCCCCGACATATTTTGCATTTTGATCGACATAATCAAGCAACATAAGACGATTACTTGGTACAATCGATGTGAGAACTACACGTATATTCCTACGTCGCTTCTCTATCTTTGTTCTCTCATTGTAGACAATTTAAGTAAAAGAATATTAACTGACTTAGAGATAAAAATTTTCTTTGGATGTCACGTATTATTTATCAAACAATTTCTCATATATTTCTTTCTACAAAGTTTTTTTTTTTTTTTTTTTTTCAGTCTTATACACACAACGACACATTGATAAGGGAAGGCGTTAATTTGTGTCTTATATATTTACATCAGATGATATACACATAGTTTCAGTTTGATTATATTACATATTTAAGGTATAAATAAAAGAATTATATTCGTCTTGGAACGAATGTATGATGCGATCACCATCGTCATTGCACTGCTTGCATTGCCATTGTATTTTAATTGATTGCCAAAGATATTTGTATCGAATTTAAGATGAATATGCGAGTTGCATATAAACTGTAAATTTCAGTTTTTATTTATTGTCCAACTATTTGTGAACCATTTTAATTGGTCTTCATATATGTACGTACCAAATAATTTCCTGCAATTTTGCGGCTATTCAGAAATACCTGTATGCATCAAGCGCTTCCAAACCGATGATTGTTGTAGTATTGTTATACGTTACTTTTTACCGATTAAGAATAATATTATGGGGCCTGGTTAAGTCAACTTCTTAATCCGAACTATGGCGATCGACTAGGTGTCTGTATGCTAAATTTCAGCCTTGAATACCAATTTTTGCGGAAAATAAGCTTTTACCAACGGCGGACGGATAGGGTTAGATTGACTCGGGTATTATTACGGAAACTAAGAAATAGATTTAGTTTACTTGGAAATGATTTCAAACGATTTAAATAGACATCATTGTATAATGTTGTTGCAGATCTTTTTTTACTTATACTGTTTAACTAATCGATCGACTTGCTTTTTCGAACGAATACGTATTGGTTTATTTGCGATCTTGCGATCATAAATAGCCATAATTTGACCGTTCTGAGTAAAAACTGCCGCGAATCCGTAACTCCTTAGCTGTGCTTTAGCATAATGATAAAGCGAATTTTTAACGTCGCCTTCTTTGTATTCATAAATACCAATAGAACCGTAGTCCTTGCATTTCTGCAGTTTTTGTTGGTTATTTACAAATTTGTTTCGAGCCTTTATGCGTTTAAACTGCAATTGCAGACATACTGTTTCTGGTGCAGTCCCGGAATTGCAATCAATCTTAAGAACTTCATGGATATCGTTTACAGTTATTTTAACATTCATAGCTGAGGCCAGAGCATATATATTATCGATTAGTGGATAGATCAGTTTATTGAGGGGATATCGTTTCACAATGACAACGTAATCACGAAATTCCTCTTTCACGCAAAGAGATGACGTTTCATCGCACTCATGGGTATCATCATTCAATTTCATAGCAACGTAGCATTGAGCAGTTAACTCTCGCATTCTTTCCATTTCCCGCTGTATGTCGCGATAATTATTTTGCACGATTGAAAAAGTGCTTTGAACGCATGTTTTCACATTACGGCACTCTTTCTGAAAATCATGTAGTTCTTCCCTTTGTACGGCTGAGCAAGTTACTTCGTCCGTCTTAATATGGTTCAGTTCCTTTATTAATTTATGTACTTTCTCGTTAGATACAGTGTATTGTTCTTGCATGTAGAGGAAATTTTTTTCACTATCACGCAGCTGATCCCGCAATTCCTTTAATTCGATTTCATAGCTTTGCAGTTTTGCTCTTCGTTCATTTGCCATTCCTGAAGATATATAATTCTCCTCGAAATTGAGGAAGACTTTTTCCATCGAAATGAACACAAATCGACAATCAGGACAATTACTGGATCTAAAATAAAATATGGAACACCATAGAAAACCATTTACTGTTTGCTCAAATTATATTAAGGAAAAGTACAGTGCCTTAGTTTCCAATCTTCAATGCATTGTGCATGGAATAAATGGCCGCACGTAATAACGTAGATTGTGTCCGATGCAGTAAAACTTTCAATACATATTGAACAGATTACTCCCGATGACGATGACATTTTGGTTTTTTTTTTTTGTCCACAACCTAATGATATTTAATTTATTGATAAATAATACAAAACAAGTAGTAGTAGTGGTAGTAAAAAAGATTGCAAAGCTTAAAAGAAAAACTTGAACTGTACTTAAGTCGGAGAAGTAGTAATACCACGTAATGTTTCATTTCGTGTATCCATGTATTAGATAGAACGAAACAAATGCATTTCATTAGTCGATATACAAGGAAATATTGCTAACTGTAAAATAAGCAAGCGCACCACAATAAATGGTTCTTTCGAAACGTCAAAGTTCCCACTACACATTTAATATAACGAAAAAATAAAACCATTGCGTTACTTGTAGTTGATCAGAAACAAACGTTAACTTTTAATTTTGTCTACTGCAACATATATACATATATATGTCAAAATCCACGTCTGTCATATCGCAATTTTTATTGTGTGCGACCCCAAGAGCCAAATTGAAATACATGATTTTCAAAACTATAAAGCGATGTCAGAAAAACTGTTCTTAGGGGACACAAAATGTATTAGTGAACTTGCAAAACGCAATTCCCAGCATTCAATCGCGCAAAGATAATATTACGTCTCCTTTAAGAAAATTACAAAAATTCCGTTTTCCAGAAATTCGTAATATTGAAGCCATAGGTCCAATTTTATTACGTGTACAATTTAATAGTTCCCTAAATGCCAACACGTTAACAAGATCAGATGTGTTTTGCATTTAAACCATCTATACCAGATAGACTCGAATACATTTTTGGGATTATAAATCGTATGAAATCAGATATCCGTGTAACCTTTATCAAGCGTTTCACTAGACTTAGTCTCGAGAAAAGGTTACGGATTCCTACTTTTTTCGCTGTTTTTTTACGGATCTATCGGACTATGCTTACATAAATTACTGTAGGGTAAAAATAGAATTTTATTTTTCGCCACGTTCGTCAATATGTAAACTGTGACAGATTAGATCATATTCAAAATAATTGTTGCTGTTGCCAGAAGAAGTGATCACATCCGCAATAGCAAGCAAAAAGGTAAATGCCCAAAATGGATCGAAGAAAGTAAAAAAAAAATTCACATTATTACGATTTTCAAGACGAAAAGCTATACGCATCTGCTAAAAATAATCAATACAAATTTTAATAATCTACGATGTTTAAGAATTTACAATGTTCCATTTCCAGTACAACTATTAAAAGTCCAGATAGAGAAATCATCAAAATCCTATTGCCAAAGAAATTCAGGCAAACAGTCAAGTCGAAACAGTCATTTCACTCAAGTACGTTTTCAGCCTTCGAGTTCTTACTTCCTCAGCCGATTAGCACCGAGTCAATTTTTTTTCCTTGACAGCATCAACTCTAATCTTAAGTTATTAAATTTCGCTATAGGTCATAAATCGAGAGATGACGCCTAGGTCGTTACGTGCGTATGCATTAAAGAATCCTTTTCATACTCTACTTGATATATTCATTATAGAAACAACTAACCTCAGCGAACATTTTACAATTCAGTCGGCTTATATCCTGCATATCCAGCATATTCGTCATCAGTATCTACCGTAGTAAGCTAGTTCGTCTTCTCAGTCTTTTGGGCGATACATAGAAGACGCTCTTATCTGGGCCCTCTCCTGTTGTTGGGAGGGAAGATCATTTTGATTCTATTAAAAGTAAACTGCTGTACCCTCTCATCGCCAACATCCATTTCAAGTGCCGCAGTAACAGCGAGACCACTTTTTTTCAACAACGTGAGTCTACGAAATGGACGATACTTGACTTGAGTTTGTTCAACTCAAACAATTCTATCGCATGGTGGGTCCTTGCAAACTTCATTTAGTCGCGCACGTCATAGCCCATTTATTTTGGAAATCAAATCTATCAAAATTCTCCCGTTCAAATTTCTGGCCAGAAACTTATTATTCAGAGAACTTTTCCCCGGAGGTTTTACAGGAGGAAAATCTGATGAAATAAGAAATGCAAGCTATCAGATTTTCCAAGTTGATTTCTAAATTCCAGTTTAGTTAGGTTGTTCCGTGTTCTTATTGTTACAAGGGAAAAAGCCGCTGAGCATTATTTATTTGAAAATCTTGAAACTCATTGTAAGTGTCCATGACAGAATGGAAA